GATAAATAAGATAGATTATAAAGAAGATTATCATTTGAATAAATCATTGTTGATGATGATGTTTGACTTGTTAGACCTTGATATGTATCTTCTTCTTCTTTTGATAATGAACTTTTTTTTTGATTTATTCCATTCTATATTTTTTATTATATAAACAAATAAATAAACAAAAAAAAGAGCATATTTAAATTACTTTAAGTAATTCATCAAGTAATTTTTCAATTGAAATACCATCAAATGATGTCCATAATGTACCAACAACTGTTTCACCAATAGCCATATGATGAACAAAATTATTTTCAAATGATTGAGGTTTTTCACAATCAATATTTTCTGGTTCAATATCTATATTTAACAAAATATATTAATTTATAAGATTGTTATTTTTTTTATTTATAAAAGATGATTTCATCTCGAAGATAAATCGATTTTAATTTTCTTATCTTAAATCATGTTTTCTATATGATTAATAATTTATTTATCTAATTAAAACTATTGAAATCATTTGTAAATAATCTATTATTTATTATGATATAATAATTTAAATAAAAATATTGATTACTTACCAAGTATATCAAATAGATTAACTTTATGGTTAACTTTAGTTAATAAACCCATATAAACAAGTATTCGTGCTCCTAGATGTTTAACATAACGAGCAAATTTAGTTGTTTGATTTGTATAAAACATTTCATCAGCTGGTAATATTAAATGTAAAACAGTATCAGGAATATCTGCTTGAGTTAAAACTTCATGAAAATCAGGATTCAATGCAATAATACCCAATGTTTGAAGAATTAAACAAATTAAATGCTAATAATAAAAAGAAAAAAAAAATAAGAAGAAGAGAACTATTATATATGAGAATAACAATTATTGTATAATTTATAAAAAAGATAATATTTTTCTTTTTTGTTAATAATTGAATATGATGTTAATCAAATAAATTTATTTTTGAAATATTTCTAATATATTGAATTATTGAATTTAAATATGAAACAATTAATTTAGGATTTTATGTATAAATAATGAAAAATAATATTTTATCATAAATAATAATGAAAATTTTTCATATTATTTCTTAAGATCAAATATTAAATCAATATCAATTATTATTTAGTAAAAAATAAAACTTTAAATTTCAATATTTATTAAGATAAATAATTTTATATTTTATGTAGATAATGAAATAATAATAAGTTTGTTTGTTTTTCGTATATTATTTATTGTTAGATTGTTTATTCTAGTATAATATAACTTATTTAGATCTTAACTGGTTTTGTCATACGATAGATAATATTAATTATTAATTTTCAATATTTTATTCTATATTATTATTTTCATTTCTTTGACTATTTTATAAACAAAATGAATGAAGAGAATTTTTTCTTTTAACAATTTCAACTTTCGAATAATTATAAAATTAGTTTTTTTCTTATTGTTTTTTATTCTATATAATATAATTAATATATTTAA